TCTGAGTGAAGCCCACCCCTGTGGTTGGCGCGGTCTTCCTGACTGAGAGACAAACTCATATTGCTGTGTTCATGCTCCCCAGCACAACCCAGCCCCCAGAACAGGCTAATAAGAACAGCGTGAGGTTCAGCTTCCCTTTCAGCTTTTCTTTTTTTTCCATAATTTTATTGATAAACAAATAGCAATGAGACAGTTTCAAATCAAATTGGTAGGACAGTTTCAATAATCAACACATTGCATACATTCTTCCCAGTGGTTAATTGCTGTACAAGATGCTGACATGATATCCTATCTACAAACACCATCAGAACAAATCATTCTATTCATTAAGAGAATGTAACTATATATCTATCCTAACCAATTTGAATACACAGATACAAAATGGACATTCATCTGTATACCCGTTTTTTGTTAAGTTCCGTTATTTGAATATTAGAGGTGTGTAAACTCAGCAAAATATTCCAAAAGAGTCCAGTAGCCCATAATAGTTTTGGGTCTTCTGCTTGACTGGCACTGTCAGAAATTGTTGACCCGAGTCCTCCACAGCTCAACATAATAGCATGGCTTTACTTCTTATATTTCATTTTTATACTTTTCTGCTGGATGGTTAAGACCAAGGTAAGGCAGGACCTATGCAACAAGAGTTGCAGCTTTTGGGTCTGATAAGGTCAGTGAAGTCCCCTCAGGATTTATCCTTTCAGCTTTTCTATAGGAAATGTCATTTGATGTAAAACAAGTGGGAATCCTGGATCAGGATCCATCTCCAAATTTTGCATTTCTTCAAGGACACCATGAATGTCTATTTCCTTGACTCAAGGAGACCATTGTCAGGGTAAGATGCTCACTTTTTCCAGTGAGGGTTTCTTATTTAGTCGACTTTCAGAATCTTCCGCATTCAGTGCCTCACACTGAGACAGATCTCAGTCTTCTGAATATTGTGCATGCTTGCCCAAAGAGAAGATCTCATTTTCTAGTGAGATTTTGTGGCAAGATGTCCTTCCCGGGGATACTCTGGTTGGAAAAGCAGGAGGGGGAACAAAAGCACCTCAGGATCAGAAATTCTTCTGACTGCAAAGCATTTCAAGACATGCCACTCCCTTTTCAAAAGAGAACTGCATCCCTGGGGCAGGGGGCCATCATTCTTTTGTCCCAGAGTTGACTTTCCTTCCTCCTGATACACATCCCTGGAGGCAAAGGATAGATCAAGTCCTCTACCATCAGCTCTTTAGATAAACAGAAAATGTTCCGACGCATAGCTGTTCATTTTTATCCATGATGGGCACCAGAGAGAAGCCAGGGAAGTTTTAGGGGTAGTCCACCTGTGAGAGAGAAAGCACACAAGCTTCTCAATTCCAGGTAAGAGGGAGCAGAGGCCCCATTTGTATTTCTGTTTTGTTCTGTTTGCATGGCGGTATGTATGGTTTATTTTTCTTTTAGAGCTGAAAGTTCCATACAGAGATCACTGGACATATTCTGCCTGGTGGCATGGAAAGGTTTTAAATCTAAATGTTGCTGGGCACAGCTTAGAGTTTGCTTCTTTGGCAGAGGCACAAGCTGAGACCCGGCAGCTGTCTTGCTGGAGTGGATTTATGCCGGGTAGGTGGCTGATCAAGTTTCTGCAGCCAGCAGCTGCTGGTTAGTTTGCCTTTTGGAATTAAACACGGTGTGGTGTTTATGAAATGTGTGAGTGCATTTAAAAAGGCATAGAAACTCAGAGAATTAGCTCTGTTTAGGATTTGAGGTCAAATGCCTTGTATCTAAAGGCAAGAATGCTTTGCTGAGCAGGAAAGGCTTCCAAGAGTGAGGACCCTCTCACTGCCCTGGAGGTTTGCTACCTCTTGAAGTCATCTCTTTGCCTTCGGCATCCTTGCCCAAGACACTCGAGCTCATCTGTCCTCTTCCTTCCTTCCCTGTTCAGTTGCAACTACTGCAACCCCTAGCCTCTACTCTGGACATTCTCCATAAGTAAACTCCTTGCTTACTGGCTCCTAAAGCCTGCACCTTCCAGGAAATCACCTTTGATTGAGAATGCAACTTTCATGCTTATGCAAGATTTCTCTTAAGATTGCCAAGATGTGCCAAGTTCTAAACTCATGTGCTGGGGGATTCTACTGCCTTAGGAACTCTAGCAGGAACTTCCCTAGGTCATTTATGTGCAGACCTCCACAGCAGTTTATTGTAGGTGCTATCATCTCCATTGTACAGGTGAGAAAACTGAGGCTTTAATTATCTTACTAAGTTTGGCTAGCTTTAATCAAACAGTGAAAGGTGAAACCAAAAAGCAAACACCAGTTTCCTTCCTCCAGATCCAGGGCTCTTTCCACTGAGTCCAGGGCACTGCATCTATTTACATGGTGACTGTGGTGGTCTTTATAAGTTGATTGCTCATTCCTGTTTTTTGGATACAGTATTTGATATATTCTTGTGCCTCTTACCAGTCCCTGGGAATAGAAAATCCTCCACAAGGGAAGTTGAATTATCAAGTTATTTGTTGACGAAGAACCCAGGTCTTTGCCTCTGACACACCAGTGCAGTTATTTCTGGAAGAAGCATGAGGCCTCCCTGATGGATCCCACTGATGTCTGGCAAACACCAGCTGTGATCCAGAGCAGTTAGTGAATCAGCACTAAAACCCAGTCAGCCAGCTCCTCTGCGACATCCTGCCATCCACTGTGTCTGTGGGTTCTATGTCAACAGAGTCAACCAACTGTGTATTGGAAATGCCCAATAGAATCCCTCCTGTGTCAAGTACAGACCATGCTGGCTATCATTCCTTGACAACACAGTATAACCAATACTAATATAGCATTTGCATTGCCCTAGGTTGCGAGTTATCCAGAGATAAGAGGGCACAGAAGGATGTGCCCAGGCTCTGTGCAAAGACTGCCCATTTTATACAAGAGGCTTGAGCATCCTCAGATTCTGGCCTCTGGAGGGGTCTTGGGCCTCCTGAATCCTGAGGATGACTGCGCTGAGTCTTGACCTCACCTGTGTGCAGCATAAAGGCCACACAGTGTCCCCTGGGGTTCTCTCCCCTGTGGTCTTGTGCCATTATATGTTCCTATTTCATGGTGCTAAGACATTTAAAGGCCATGGGCATCATGGAAGGATTGCTTAGTGTTACTGTAATACAACATGCTGTACCAAAGTCAGTGTAGATGCCCTTTGAATGGACCATGTAAGTTTTTCTGAGTGCTGTACTGTGGTCCCACAAGTTGCTGCTTATGCAATGAATGTGGACAATTGAACCTAGGCTGCAGCTGCCAGACCAGTGGGCATATGTGGGCGTATGTCTGTTAGTTGTCAGTCAAAAAATAAGATTGCCATCGAGTATCTCTGTACTGTCAGCAATCATGATCAACGCTCTTATGTGTGGGGGGTGGGGGTGGGGCAAAGGTTACATATGACTATTCTTAGTTAGGATGTGGGACACTCAAGGATCTGAAATGTAGACAGGGTCGTCAGTTCAGAGCAAGAGGAGGCATCTGTGCACCAGAGAGATGTAAGTGCAACTTTTGGACTTGCAAGCTGAGCTCAAGTGATAGACACCAGTACAGCCACTGGTCCCAAGAGCACCCACGTGATGTGGCTGGCAGCATGGGAGCAGAACAGGGCGGCCACTCACAGGCATGTAACCTTGAGAGGCGGCCTTCTTGCGAAGAGGGTCTTGCTGTCTGCAAGCTGGAGGCTTCCACAGTGTGCACCCGCGAGGCTGCATGACCATGTGCAGGCCAGTGTGTGAGATTCAGGCATAGCCTGTGGCGATGTGGTCGCTGTCCTGCTTGTGCTCATTGGGTAGAAAGCAACAGCAGCAGCAGCAGCAGCCAGCGGACTTCTTCCTCTAGCACAGTTCTGATGATATGTGGCAGTGCAGACTGGCTCAACCACTGTGGAGACCAGTATGGGGATTTGTCAGAAAACTAGGACTGGAGGTCCATTAGAGCCAGCTATCTCCTCTGGGGTATTTTTATCAGAAGAATTAAAAACATCATACCACAGCAATATATGGTGCATCCATGTCTATAGCAGCATAGTTTGTCATAGCTAAATCTCAAAAACAACCCACACGCCCATCAACTGAGGAATGGATAAAAAAGATGTGGTGTTTTTTTATACAATGGAGTATGACTTAGTCATAAAGAAAGATAAACTTGAGGCTTTTATAGGTGAATGGATGCAACAAGAGACCACACTCATAAGTGAAATAAATCAGACCCACATGGGTAAGCATCATATTGTTTCCCTAGTGTAAAAATCTGAAGAGTAAATAAAATCTTGAAAGGAGAAAAAAAAAAGAAAGAAGGAAGGGATAAAGAAATATATATGCCTAGGGCTGGGGAGATAGCTCAGTGGAATAAGTGCATGCCTGGAAAGCTCAAGGTCCTGAGTTTGATCCCTAGTACCACCAAAAGAAAAAAAGAAATATATATGCCTATACACAGGAAAGCTTGGATAGTTGTACTGTTGATTGCTGGTCTAGTGAAAGGAGCAGTTAATGCTTACAGTTTTTCCTCTCTTTTTTAATGCTTTTATAACTTTTTGACCAATTTTGCATACTTATATCTGGTAATCTGAACAACTAATTTGAAGACAACAATATGCAATGTAACAGCTATTATTGAATTCCTATTATTTTGTTTAGTGAAATTCTGTATCATTTCTAATTTTTTTTGCTCTTTTCCATTTTCTTTAAAAATATTTTTTTTTAAAGAAAGTCCTCCTGCCTGTCACACCAAGCCCGCACATTGAATGACACCCATATTTCTAGGAGATGGGTTGCACCCACATCTTAACTACATGTGAAACATTCCTGTCCAAATTCCATTACCTAATCTGGAGATCTGTTCTGTGGCCATAAATCCGGTTTTTATCCCAGTGTGAGGAGAGGGAGAGATTCGAAATTGAAGTGTGGTCCACAGAAAAGCTCTGGTAAGACAGGATTCCTGGCTGAGAGAGTGTGCAAAGTGGGTTGACAGCTCCAACTCCCTTTTGTCTTCCAGCCACCACCACACAGCCGAAGCGGAAAGGCCACTTCTCCCGCTGCCCCAAGCAGTACAAGCACTACTGCATCAAGGGCAGATGTCGCTTCGTGGTGGCTGAGCAGACGCCCTCCTGCGTGTAAGTGAGCCTGCCAGCTGGCCGAGGGGTGGTGCCCTCCCGGGCTGGGCCTCGGAAAGCCTGAGCTCACCGTGCCATCTGTCCACCCAGCTCTGCCCGGCCCTGCCCTCAGCTTCTTGTCCAAGGCCCTCTCGGAGCTGCTTTCGGAGAGGCTGACGCACACTTTTCCAAAACACGAGTGTGGGAGCCTGAACTATGTCTAGGCTGGGCCATCCGTGCTGCTTCAGCAAGCGAAGCTGATTCTGTCCAGGGTTAGGATGCTTTTCGGCTCCAGTAACCTCCCCAGTGGTTCCCATGGAAACACATTTTCTGGCAGTGTTAGGCGGCATGTCTGTCGTTAATGTAAATATGGGAGAGCTGTTGCCAAAGTAAAAGCTGCTTCTGCAGGTGTTGGCCAAGTGCGAAGAAGTCAGGCCTGCCTGTTTGCAGAGCCTGGCACAGGGGGGGACCAGGATGAGGTCCTCCTTCCAGCTCTTCACAGAGTAATGGTACAAGTTTAATTTTCCTCATCCACACACAACATTAGCATCCGCTTAGCATTTGTTTTCTGATAAAAAGATGCCCTCTAATGTACTGCTGAGTTTAGAGGAGCGAATTCCTCTAGCAGATTGTTCAGATCTGAAATTCACAGAATGGTTGTGGTCTTCTGTAGTTTCTCCAATATATATATTTTTTCCTTTAAGCTCTCAGTGATTCCAAATCCTACTTAATGGAACTTTAAAAGGTTATGGGCTTCTTTGAAGTTTAATGATATAAGGTTCCTCTTGTAAAAGAAATATGCACAGGTAATTCTTAGAAGAGAATAAGAATTGCTGCTGTAAAATGGGCAGGAAAGTGTGTGTGTGTGTGTGTGTGTGTGTGTGTGTGTGTGTGTGTGTAAGAATGATAGAGGTGTTTTTAAAAAAGTTTTCATTTATTTACTGTGCTTAAAATATGAGTTCTCCTTTCCTCAGAGCATCTCTGTAACTGGTCTGTATACTTGCACATCGACTGTACTTTAATATTGCTGCCTTTGGAAAGAAACCAGTGGTGTCTGATCTGATGGCTTGCGCTCTGCGCCGGAAAGTTGCAGCTCACCAAATTGCTGCTGTTCCTCTGATCCTGGCTTAACTTTCCAGCTGGACCTTTCCACTGCTCCTCTAGGGTCCTCTACTTCTTCACTGGTTTACCCTATGGGCTCCTCTCATAGCTGGGAGCCGTCCCCACTGATGGTTTAAGGTGTTCTTGACCCCAGCTCCTCCCAGACCCACACTGAAGGCTCCTCCTCCGCACTTCCTTGATGGCTGGGTGGGTGCCCTTGCTCGGCCATTGCCATTGGGTCAAAGGTGGAAGCAGTGCTCACTCACCACAGCAAGGCTGAAGGCTACTTTGAAGACCACTCTGACCATGCGCCCCCAGAGGGCAGGGCTCCTGCTCATTCCCATTGGTGCCCAGGTGCTGAGCAGAGTGCCAAAAGTTTAACTGTTGTGTGAGGGATGAATAGGTAGGCGCCTTTACAGTTCATCCAGACCTCTGCTAAATTTCAAAACCAAGGTCTTCATTAGAGCTCGGAGCATCTCCCTTGCAGCAAAATGATACAGAACCAGTTCCAGCAGCATGACACAGGGATCAGAGCACTGATTCTAGAGTTGATAGAAATAAAGTCAGAGACCCAGTCCTAGCCCAGGTCCGGTGAGTGTGCGGAGAGCTTCCTGCTACCCTGCGCCAGCGGGACCAGTCCCAGCCCAGG